GCCACCCGCTAATAACGCTCGTTAAACACTGAACTCTCCAGCACCTGCTGACTGGGTTCTTGCCCACCCCCCTGCCACCAGGCAAGGCCCGGGCAGCATCTCCAACAGAGAGCACCGAGCGCCACAGCTTCCACTCGCCAGCTGCGCGACGAACCCAAAGCGTTCGGACTTTGGCTCCGGAATGGAGTCGAGGATGGGAAGTGGCGCGGGAGGTGGCCGGCAGCACTGCCCCTCCGCTTGAGCTGGCTCTGCGCAGCGCTTGGGAACGACGAGCTCCGCAGCAGCCAGAAACGGTGCCCGATAAACGCACCACTGTTAGGTTTCGGATCTGGTGCAAGCAGATCTTGCCTCACATACGCCACCCGATGAAAGGGAAAGGATGCTGGGGGCTGGACTGGGTGACCTTTAGAGGTCCCTTCCAACCCAAACCATTGTGCGAGTCTGTGTTTAGCACTCGCTCTCAAGGCCTGGAAATAAAGAGAACCCTTTGCACGTGTCTCGCATGTCTCCTTCTTTTACATGTCTCCCACACTGTTTATAATCTGTTCACCAGAGTGGAGTGAAAAGAGTTAAGCTACTTTGGTTGTACAACCTGGGAAAACATTATTTTAAATAATGTCAGGACTCATCCTTCAAGTGCAATCTGACAGACGCGGACAGAGCTGTGCCACGCTCCGCCTCTCCTTACTGGAGTGGTTGCTACCAACAGCAGGTTACTGAACAAAGCAGTTTCTATTCACTACTAAACAAGTTTCCATTACGTATTCTAAATCTTTCATATCCTGAGCAAACAATTAAACTAAACACACTACTGACGGTGCCCAGACACAAAAGATTTAAAAAGGAAACCGTCTACGGCATCCACTCAAGCAGTGACAACACGTAACAGTATCCTGCCCGACCCCGTGACTCAAGCTCAGATCAGGCCGGTCCATTTTCTGTCATACACCGTGAGTCAAGAGCCCATTTTTGCTGCTCGGCTGCTCTCTTCATCTCCCAGTAACTGCGCTGACTCACCGCGCCGCAGCAGAACCTCCCTGCGCTGCTTCCCCCAGCACTGTAATG